GCTTGTGCACAGACTTAAAGCTTCAGCAAAGATAACTCAGGTTCCTTGACAAGTCTCTTATTTTCCAGATGTATAGGTTCCCTATAAATCAGCCCATCTTGGAAGACTGGATATCCTTGTGTGCGTTAGATAGGAATAGGAGCCTGGGAATGGACAACTAAATTGATGCTTAGCCATATTTAAATACTCTCACTTATGCCATACATGTACTTCTGTGTGTAATACTTTGACATGCATGATCCAAATAGCAGTCAGAACACTTCCACTATATTCATTTTTCCTCCAGTTCATTGCATATCTTGACATACGTTAATTGCAACACAAAGGTCACCTGACTGATTTTTCTCATATTTAATGGAGAACAAAAACCTATGATATTAATGTCTGAAGAGAAGCATGTTGCCTGATATTTAAAAGACTTATTTAGTCCTTTGTCATTTGTGCCCAGAAATTTATTAGTCATGGTAATGTTTCCAGTTAGTTGAAGGACAGAGAGCATAATGGGGGCACTTTTTGCCTAATTGCTGGTAGCTGTGTACATGCAGTTTACTGTTGAGTTTATGAGGGTAGCTGAAGTATTACAACAACAAGCTTCTTAAGAGGTGAGGTCTGTTTCTTATTTATAAAATCATTAAAATCAGAATTAGCACCTGCATTAATAGACATGAAGTAGCACTGTGCCATGGAACGGAAATGTTTTAATGTTTGATGATGTATTTTTTTTCTAGATCATAATCTGTCCAGACATTCTGAAAAAGACAGTGAGTGAACTTAGCTGGAACAAATATATTTTACAGTAAATGGAGAGATGATCAAGTATTATGTTCTGTGTATAGTGAAATAACCTTTAGATGAACTTGGAAAGGAAAAGAATTCCTCTTTAATTAAGCTTGCCTTTCTTCTTGGGGTTGTGAAAGAGACAGGATAGTGCTACCATTAAAGTGGAAATGGAGTTAATTGACATTAATCTTCATAGGTTTCTTAGATTTGTTTTAATGGCAAAGAAGTAAAAAGGTCCTCAGCCCAAGTTAACTGTCACTAAATAATTGAATGGCATACCTGAATTTAACATTTTGTTTTCTGGTTTGGAATGAAGTTTGCTGCCGTCTGTTTTTTCTTCTATCCTGTTCCAAACCATGGAGAAAATGCTGGAGATACCCAAAAACTTGGTAAAAGAATAACAGTTCTGACCCATCTTGTTTTCTAAAGTGAGTGTTTCTTTATAGAACATGGTCAAGCAAGGTCGATTAACTGATAACAGCATCTCAACTGATTCTGCAGAGTTTTTACATCTGAAGGGATTTCTATCTTTAAAACAAACTAATTCAAATCTGTTTAGCATGGCAAATGTTGGTAATTCAGATTCCTAGAAGTGAATATGTACACAGTGCCTGTCCTGTTGCCTTCATATGACTAGGTGCTCTTTTGAGGGAGCTTTGTGCAACTCCTTCCAAACCAACTGGATTGACAATTCAAGTTGGCAGGTGGTGTGCTCTGCTTCATTGGAGGGTGTGCAAAAGACTTTCTCTATATTCTGGTCACTACCTTATTCCATCTAGTATCATTCATTCTTAGCACAGTCTTGTTGCGGCACGTCAGTGGCTGTGGTTTAGGAATGTAGAACTGGGTGCCATCACGTTTCAGAGATACTATAGTCTTTACTGCACACTTGGTGGTCTTGGGCATGTTTTAAAGACAAGTTTAGAAGATGGTATTCAGCTAGTGAGATCGGTTGATCTCAGTCGATCACCTGTGAAAAGGCTGGTAAGATAGGAATAGAGTAAGAATAGCTGTTTTCACCATGTAGAACAGCAATAATTCAGGTCTTCCACACGTTTGGTTACATCATTATCTGATTCATGTTGGTTCCTTTGCCAGTTTAGCAAATGGGTTAGTGAGTCACAAGCTCCTGTTGGTCTTGTGTAGTAGTATAGAAGTCAATTGTGTTTCTTTTCATGCGGTTGGCACTTCTTTCAGGGTACAATATTTCCTGGATAAAATCAAGTAGTTCCGTGTAAATAGTCAGAAATGCGCATTTTAAATCAAGACTTGTCAGACACCAAGTAAAGAAATGTTGCCTCTAATAAAACTATCTTCTTAAATGGATTTATTTACTGGTGCCTGAAAAAAATCACTCAGATGTTGGGATGGAATTTTTCCCTCTCCCCCTGGAATTGAATTAATAGCTTTCTGTAAGCCGTCATTGTATACCTATTTGTAGTTCAGAGTTTTAAAACTGGAGGAGGACTAGAGATACTCCAATTCACTAAGACAGAAAGTTAAAAAATGAAAAGTAAAAACCTGAAATCTGTTTTTATTTGCATTTTTTCTTCTTGTTAATTTCCAGTTAATTTAAATATATTAAATCATTGAAAAGAGCCAAGTGGAGATCAGGTTGCTCAGAGAGATTTTGCAGCTTCCATTTTTGGATGTCTGCAATAACCAACGTGATCAAGCCATGAGCAACCTGCTGTGAACTCGGAGCAAGCCCTGCTTTGAGCAGGAGGCTGGACTAGAGAGACCTCTCATGATCTCTTTCTGACGTGATTTGTCCTGTGAATCTATAAATAAAATTAAGGACTCTTTGAAATGTCAAGATATTCAAGTGACTGTGAGTTGAGGTGTTGTGGTTGTAACTCCTGTTTGGTTTAGGTGGTCATGGCTTGACCTCTTGTACTTTCCATTTTGGCTAAATGTCTGCTGTTCTTAATAGCATTGTGGAAAAAACTAAAGCAGAACAAAGTAGTGTCATAATCACTTCAAATTCTCTGCAAATAACTGGGCTGATCCAGAGAATCAAGTGCCCTGTATATGTAAGGAACTCTGTTAATTTCACTATACTTTCTACTGTTTATGGGATGGAAGGCAAAAAGAGGAAGGTCAGTTTTGAGGTGGTTATGTGTCTTTCCTTGGGGAGCTAGTTATAAATTAACTTTTAACTCATCATCATCTTAATGCCTCTGGGAAAAGGCTGGGATTGCCTCTGCACTCTGAGCAACTCTAAGCTAATTTATAAAGTAATTAGGTGCCAAAAAGTGCAAGCAGACCATAAATAGATATAATAATAATAATAAAAAAAAGATGTGTGGCAGCAACACATGAAAGAAATAGGTAGCTCTGAGGGAGAAAGAGTGTACATTTACAAAACTTAGCTTCCTAGTTTTAGTGCTCCCATTAGTGGAATCCTGCTAATGGGAAATGTTAAATATTTAATATCTGACATTTCTCTATGTAGTGCAGTAAAGATTAAGTATTTTATGGTGCATTTCAATTTAAAAGAATGAAAGCACTTTTCAGGCTGTTACAGGGAAGCTGTCAGTGAGCCTTGTATTTAGACTGCATATTACTTTCTGCTATAATAGACTCTTTCAACTTGTTTGCAGCAAGCTAGGTATGAAAGCTCTGATATCTGAGCAGTGCCTTTTGTTCATCCTCTGGAAAACTATTGAGCTGTGGCAAGGTTTCACTTCCCAAATTAAGTAGGCATGCCAAAACCACTGAGAGTTTCCACAGCCATGACAGTTTTGATTTTCAGTGAGACTTGCTAGTGTTATCCAAGAGGTGATGCCTTTCTATTACAGACGGGTTTGAGGCATTCCCACAAAGGGCTGCAGTAAAAGGCAGGCATGCCTTCTCTCACTCTGTCCTTGCCTGACTTTTTCTGTCCTTTCTTCACATGGAACATACTGGTGGTCTTCTTTCCTGTAGTAAATCTGCTGAAAATTTTCACTCTTAGTTTCGAGGGCATCATATGTCTGTGTAATTTAGAAGCCCTTAATAAAGCAGTAACATTTTTAGTTTTGGTGTACAATGTGAATTGGCACAAGGATAGTAATTTAATTCCTTTCTTTTACTGGAATATTGTGCTTGTGTTAACATTGGATCTGATTTACAGGGGCTGCATATTTTCTGTAATTGCTAGCCAGTGCCCATTTGTGAAGGTAGGTTGTGTGACTGTTAGTGCTGTCAGTCTTGAGTAGTTTGCCTGACCTCAAGCCCATAGCATTTCCTTGAAATAAACTGGATGAGTAATATAGGTTGCAGTTTTTAGCACTGGAGGAATACTGAAGTCCATACTCATTTGATTGAAATGGGAAGAAAACTACTTTCAGGCATTCTTTGACCTTCTGGTGATATCTGAGTGAATTTTCAGATGCAACCAAGGTATTGCAATTTTTTTTAATGATCTAGGGATTAATTGTCTACTGCTGCTTATCTAATTAAAAGATAGGTAATAAATGAATGTGTAATTATTTCCCTTGTACAATTGTTTAATCTTGATAAAATAGGTAGCTAACAAATGGTCTGAAAATGGTGTACCATTCCTTTCAGTTAACTATACCATGTATACATACAGATATATAATTTGCATATGACTGCAGCTTCTGCTTCTGCTAATGCTTAGTTGTAGCACATGGGTGTAATGTTTGCTTGCTTAAAATGTGAATGGAGTTTATTAAGTATACAAGTCTTATTTTTTAACATCATATAACAAAGGCTACTAGGAAGGAGATTCTGTTGATGCTCTTTTAAGTAGCATGCAATAAGTATGCTGTTATGAAGATTAAGCATCTCTTAGAGCATCTCTCAATATCAGCATCATTGCTTGGAAAAAAATGCATGTAGGGAAAAGCTTTGGAATAGCACTTTTGTTTTAAAACAGGAAAAGGCTGACGGTAAGATGATGCCTGCTGCTGCTTTTGTGGGTTTGACTCATGGCTTGAGTTTTTCTATATGGGTGATGTGTAAATGCCTCTATTAACACACTCTCCACCATCATAAAACAAAATGTTGGTAAATATATCTATTGTAAATAAGGGCCTGCTTCTTTTGGCACTAGAGTGCATTTGTGTTTGCACAAACTATTCTAAGTAGTGTTCAATATTTTTATCTCTTTCTTCTCCAACTCTTGTTTATTCAGTTTCACCGTGTCTTGTGTTTTTCCAAACCTTGGTTGTTTTTTTTTTTGTTGTTTTATTTTTTTGAATCACACAACATAGAGCTGATAAAGCAGATGATGAGGACGATGAAGATCTAATGGTGAATAAAACATGGGTCCTTGCACCAAAGATTCATGGCGGTGATGTAACTCACATATTGGACTCCTTACTTCAAGGATATGACAATAAGCTTCGGCCAGATATTGGAGGTAAGCTCATAAAATGATTCTGTGCAATAGAAAATGTGAACTAGAGATGGTGTGCATTTGTCAAATGCACTATGCTTATTCCAATATTTGAAATTCAATATAGCAAGCTAAATATAAGAGTAATAAAATACAGTCATTTTCTGGAACTAGTAAAAAAATGTTCTGTGCAAGATAAGACTTCATGTTCTATTTATAATATTTTTTTTTTTTCTTATGGAGGGTACTGGTTTTGGGGGACAGTGAGCAATCTGTAATAAGTCACTAAAAGGCAATTATAATTTGCTTTGTTTAACAAAGATCTTCTGTCAGAAAGAATTGTAGATATAAACCAGCCATGGTCATTTCAAAAATTTATCTTAAGTCTTTAGGGCTTCATTAAAGAATTATCCCTAGACATTTTATTCTTACTGTAAGAAATTCATTGTGTTTATTTTGAGCAAATATAACTCAACTCAACTCAATTGTCTTCTTCCCTTAGCTAAGCTTTTGAAAAAAATTTCAAGAGTCTAAAAATATAACTTAGGAGCCATTTTTTAGTGGAATATAGGAAGAAAAACTGCATTGTTATAGATCAAACTTTGCAGCTATATGAAGGCAATTTTGTCTTCCAATAGTCAAAGCTTCAATTTGCATATAACTATTAAGCATAAATACCTGGAAGAATCTTGTTTTGAAAACACGTAATACATGAAACTGTGCCAGCTCCTTGTATGCAGGATCAAATAAGAAAAACAATATATTTTCTCTTGGTTTGTTTCCTGAAATGTGAAGGAAGAGGTGGAGGACATAAGTATTTGTGATGTACCTGGCATTCCCTACCAAAGGAATGCCATGTAAGTCTGTAAACAGCACCACAATCTAGACCTGTTTCATTTATGTATGGGAAGAAAAAGACACAATCTCAAATTATGCCTCTTCCTTTGAAAGCTTCTGACAAATTGTTTTCTTTCCCAAACTTCTTAGTTCTGTTTTATTGGTGACTGTTATCTTAGAGATGTTGAAAGGCAATAATTCTCTCCCTGTCATAATATAATCACATATGAATCTCATAAAGTTTGGTTTAAGTCTTTTTCTTCATGTTCATTTAATTGAATTACTAAAAACATTTAGACAACATGAAAAGTCCTCCAGCATGTTTTTCCTTAAATTCTCAATGTGTGACAAATGTATAGCTTACTGTTGGTTTTTCCCTGTTTGATGCAACAGACAGAAAAGTGATTGTGAGGAAATGAACTGTCTCTTCTAGGATTCCTTCTAATGATTAGCTTGTAGGTGGGGATGAAAGAAAAGAGAATTCTTTTTCTCTTCTCTCCCCATAAAACTTACAAGTAAATGGAACAGATACAGAGGAGGAATTTATTCTGACATGTCAAATGCATTTAGATGGGCATGGAAGAATTTTGATGCAATTCTTGTCTTTATTTTTCTGGTTATATTCTGAGTCTTGATAGAACAAGAACTGTCTTTTTGTGAGTAACTCAATGTACAGCTTTTTGGATTCAAAATATCAGTTCCCAAAAGAAGACACTTAGTTCTAGCTTCTCTCTCATAGAATGTACCTCTTCTCAAAAGTTCTGTACCAGTGTGACCTTTGCTATCTGGGGCCTGCATCCATCCACTATACTGGAACATAAAGTTCATGAATAATCAGCCAGAGTATAGAAAAAAGGAAACATTTGGGAGTATTCTCTTTGTTTTGAAGAAATGTTAAGTATGATTCTGCCACAAGGAAGACATTTTGGACAAGATAAGATGAAATTTCTGACTTCAGGTGAAAGCACTGCATTCTGTCCAGTTGTTTGGGAACCGCAGCAGATATTTGACAGAAAAACAAAATCAGGCTATAGTTTATTCATCTTAATCTGCTTCAAATATGTGGATAAAATCTAGTGTCAGATTCCTTTCTTCAGAGTGTATGTCAGTTCTTGTACAACAAGGTTATTGAACTGGAATTTTCATTATCTTTCAAAACATTAGAATCCCACAGAACATTCTTACGATTGGATTACAAAGCTCATTTACAATAGCAACATTTTTTGTTTTGAACTTGGACTGTTTGGGTTTGAATCCGAGAGCAGAATTTAGTTTTCTTCCTGGTATTGACACAGAATTTCAGCATCTCACAGTGAGATAAGAGTTTCATTGTTGAACGTGCAGTTAGCTGAGGGACATGCTAAAGAAGAGCCAAATGAAAATTGGAAATTTGGAGGCAATACTGAAATTTAGTAGGGGAAAACCACTCTGTCATTTTCTGTTTGTCTCATTCAAATATCCATGAGTTGTATTAATTACTTCACTTCTTCCCTTTGCTGTGTTTAGTAATCTTACTGACCTTTAACTCAATTTATGTAGTAGACTTGAGGTGTTTGGAGCACAAATGTTCTAGCATTCTTCTACTCAGTATGGAGTAATAGTAGTTATCAGTAGTTAAACGTATTTATACCTGTCTGTGGTATAAATATTTTTAATTACAGATACAACCTTGGAGTGTTGATATACTAATAAAGCAGTAATATTCTTGCTGTAACATTACCTTCTGGGTGCATGATTTTATAACCATACTGTTTCAATTCTAGTCCTGCATCAAAGTAGCTATTATTTTTGAACTTTCCTTCTTAAAGGAAAGAATTCTGGCTTCTCATTTTTCACCTCTCTCATCCTCGGGGCACTGATACATTAATATTAGCCTATCAAGGTACAGATAATTTTTTCCAGCAGTGATGTGTGTATGTGTGAAACACAACTGCACTATCTGAAAATTTAATTAAAAATAGGAAACAGTCATCACATATCTACCACTTTAGTGAGTGTTTTCATTAACAGTTTAAGACAGCTCATCATTGATGGAAATTTGAAGAATGGTGGGAATTTAAGGATAATTACTCATGGACGTAGAAAAATTGAATACCTAGAGAAATGTGGATAGTTGTTACTACCCTATGAGCAGAACATGGGTAAATAATTACATCTCTCAAGTGCACTAATGTGAATAGTGATGTTCTATAAGAGATATAAAGAATATATGGAAAACACAGGACTTTCAAACAGAAGTGCTGATTCTCAAAAAATAACTGTATTAGAAAGTATTCTGTTGAACAGGTGCTCCTAGTGTAGCAGTGATGAAAGTATGATACAGGCAGAAAAGTAATAAGCACACAATGATGCCTAAAGAGTTTTAGATTTTTATATATTTTTCGTATATTTGTAACTTGGCAGACTGTTAATGCATAGTTATAACTTCTAGTACTTTTCCTAACTTCTCCCATCTTTTAGCTAACTCTTACTAATCCATTCTTGAAATTCTGTTTGTTAGTCTAGCAAGGACACTTTGTTTTGCACCATATACTGTAGACACAATAACATGCAGGGCTAAAACATTGGGGCGGGGTTGGGGGGGGGGGATGCTCCAGTGGAGCAGAACCCAGAGTAAATTACCTAACCAACTGTTCTTCTAATTGGACAATATTTGCTGGATATACTAGTTAAATAACCTTATAAAAATTGTAGAAATACTGCATCATGTGTGCATATCGCTATATTGTGTCACTGTGAACGCTTTCTGTTAAGGACTTGCTTTTACATTTGCATTTTAACACTCTTTGGAACGGTCTTAAGTTTTATTCCAGGCAACAAAACAAGTAACAAAATACGAGTTAGAAAGTAAAGAGAGATTTATTTTGAGTTTAAGAATATTTTCCAATAATTGAAGAAAATCAAAATACAAGAGCAAAATGGAGAAACACTTATTCAGGGAATGTTGAAGGTATTGGACATGTGCACTGCATAGAAAATCATGGAAATAATAAAAGTGGAGGGGCATCTGCAAAAGATGGATTTCTTTTAAATAGAAGGGTAAAAAGTTTAGAGGACAGGGCTCTGCCTTCATCAAAATCACTTTGAAAAAATTCTTCAGAGGTTGACTTGGAAGCCTGCTGTAGACACGTGAGGCTGAATTTTCAGTATAATAATCTTAGATAGCTGATTGTGAGAATTGTATTGTTTCATTAAAAACTATTAGAAATTGAAGGACTTTGTTATTTCTGAATATGGTAGTCACTAAATTTATTTGCTGAGTAACTGCTTTATCACTACAGGGGATGCTTCTTTAGGCAAGTAATGAGGAGTTATAGAAAACATGCTTAAAGAAAATAAGCCTGGATGAAGTTACAAAAGTGGTCTTAGTTAAAGTTAAAAAACATAAGAAGTATTAATTAAAAACAAAGGTGATGTTACTTAGACCTTCACTAGAAAATGAGGGAATTGTGGTAAACTATGGGGTTAGTGTATTTAGATGGACTACCATGCTCTAGGTTAATGTATTGAAGTAATGGATTGGAGGAATGAAAATAGCAGAATTAAGCAATAAAAAGTGCAATGTTCTGGACTTTTACAATAATGATAATTATTTGTGTCAGGAGATAGGTGTTTATAGAATGAGAATAGCTGATAAGAAGAGCTCTTAAGTGTAGCAAGAAGAGATATATCAAATATTAAAAGCTGAAAATTGAGCCCGTAAAAATATAGGCTAAAAACCAGGCACTTTGAACATCAGGGGCAATTACTAAAATAATTTTTCAATGATTGAGATAGATTTTTATTGCTATGATTTTTCTTATCAGGAATAAACATTTTTCAAAATTTTTAAAACCAGAAGAAGTTTAGTCTAGCAAAAAAAAAAAAAAAAGTAAAAGAGGGAAATAAAAAAGTGAGTATACCTCTCTATATTGGGCTTACCAAACAGGTTCCCTGTGTCCTTCAGCTACATTAGAAGCTGACCTTGTGGTCAGCTGTTCCTTTGTGCTCTTGTTTCTCTGTCTCCCCCTTCCTCTTGAGTATGCACTCTGTTGTCCTCTCACCTTCTTGCTTTACTCTAGCCTGCCTCATACTGTCTTTCAGTTTAAATATTTAAAGTGTTCAAGCCCTTTCTACTCTTGTTTAGAACACTGCTGCTCTGCACTTCATGCAGGACGTGTTAAATAGCCTTCTTCCTACTTGTGTTTTCAGGGCTGATAGCAAGTTTTAAAGTAAAATAGAAAGCCGTCAGGGTCGGAAAATCTTCTCAATTTGTTCTTCTCAAAGTATCAAGAAGGTATTTTCCTCCAGTGTTTGTCATTTTCATGAGCTATTATCACTTCTAGCTCAAGAACATGAGAAGTATTAATTAATCCTTCTAATTCAGAAGTTCCTTTCTCTGTACCATATAGAAGAACTAAGGTAACAAAATAAGCTTCTTCCCGTCCTCTTGAATTGAGTTTCTCTCTCTGGATCATTTATGTCAACTAAAATAATTTCAACAGAGGCAGATTTTTAAACTGTTCACTGGCTCTTAATACTTCTTATAATCTTACTCAGAGCAGTATGGAAAAGGCAAAATTAACTGAGTGGCTCACTACAGGAAAGCCCTTGTGGCAGATGAAGTACTGCATGATGCAAGTTGGAATTTCTTAAAATTGACACAGCCCCCATTAAAAACTGTGTCACTGACAGTTATTTAGTTGTAAATAAAGGATGCCAGTGGCTGGGATATCTATAGTGTGGTCTCATAGGAAGTTTTTGATCGAAAATAATGATATTTTGAATTATTTTAGCAATTAATTTTTGTAGTAAAGCTGGCAGATGACACAAAGACTGTTGGAAAGGGAGTGGCTGTATCTGCAGGGTATTTAGCTCCTTCAGTATAACTGGAATTGAGAGGGAAAGAAAAGGAGGTGGAGGGGAAAGAATCCTGTGAGTTGTATTTCAAGGAAGTATTCAACATTACTTGAGGAATAAGGCAAGATATACTTTGATCCACCTTCTTGTGTTCTGGTCTAGCAGTGGAGCTGCTGTTATAAAAATAAATAGGATTGCAAATTAAAGGAAGAGGATATCTGTTTGCAGAATGTGATATATGTCAAAATGATTATGTTACACATGATAAACTTTTTTCTTACTCTGATATTTCAGTCTGTGTGTATGAGTTCTCGTGCTGTCCCCCTTCCTTTATGAGCTCTGCAGAAGTTGGAAACATTTGCAGCTCAGAATCAATGAATAACAGAATTACAGAATATTTTGAGTTGGAAGGGACCCATAAGTATCATTGCAGGAAGTACTTATTTTTTTTCCTCCAGGAAATAAATTGGTTTCCAGAATCTGTTTAAACTTTCTCTGAAGCATGCTGGGGAAAGTATGGTGATCAAGTGACTCTGTGCTCTGTGGTCATACAGAAAATCCTTTGTGCAGCCTCACTAGTCTGTATTTCTGTCAGGCTTATGTTCACACCATTAACCAGACTTGGAATCAGGGCAAGTTTCCTCCCAAGTGAGCTTGGCAGGGAAAAAGTATATTTGGATATTTAGGAAATGCATCTTGCAAGTCATTGTAGTTGGCAAGGATGTCAATGTTACAGTCTTGCTTTCTGTATGTCTGTTAAATTTTCTGAAGTTTGGTTTGTTGTTAAACCCTTGGCAGTCTCTGAAGTTTTGCTGTATAAAAAAATTAAATCTGATGACCTAGGGTCCCTCTCCTATGAAATCAAAATGCCTTTTTGTTTGCACCTTCCCACTTTTTTTATCTGCAGCTTGAAAGACGTGCTTATTTTATTGTGTCATACCATAAAAGGACCAGCAGAGCTCTATTATTATTATCCCTCTTTATTCCATTGGGTACAAGGACACATATTCTCTTGTGTCCACAATCTGGTTCTCCAGCACAAACTAGAAGGAAGATGATTGGTAGAATGACGAAATAAAAATGCATCCTCTCCTCTTTCATTTGTGCCCTTTTTTTCTGTATAAATCCATTAGAAGGAAAAAAATGAACTGTCAGAGCCTCCTGTACTTCAGGTGTGCATTTTATGGACACTCTTAGACTTTGGGTCCTTCTGAAAATGCACAGAGTAGAGAGTATATTCTGTAATGGAACATATTTTTTAAAGTTTTTGATTGTTTGTCTGCACAGTGAGTGTTTTCCCATATTTAAAGAAAAATAAGTTTGGTAATGTTTACCTTTTAAATAACTTAAATTGATGAGCTTTCAATTTGGTTTTTTAACCAGGGTATTAATCAAGCTGATGAAAGAGCATTAGTAATCACTAGGTGTGCTATAGCTTTATGACTTGAAGAAACCTGTGGTGAAAAGTTATTTTTTATCTGTTACATATTCTCAGCAGAAATTGATAGAAAGCACTTCATATTGATTCCTTGCAGCTGATAAACATATTTGTCCCATTGCATCATGTTGTATTTTTCATACAACAAACCATTTGTCATGGTTTGTTGTATGAAAAAAATATTCCAAATTTGTTTTCTTTTTAGGACTGTATTTTTATATTGGAAGAGAGTTTTGGAGGTTTTCTGTTTTATTTGTTTTTCCTTTCTTCACCTTTGTTATCTATCTTACATTGATCAGATAGCATGGGCAGAGATTGCATGATGAACTAAAAAGTTCAAGTTGATAATTCTAAAAAGTCATATGAAATAAGAGAGCCAAGTCACCTATGATCCTTCACAAAATGAACAAATGAGAAATTTAATTATTCTGAATCTAATAAAAGAATACCAGATATGCTGTTTTTAGTTAAGTGAATTAAATTGCATTAACAATGCACAGAGTTAATTAAATATGTAATTATTATGGTTACTGTTTTGTTTAGTGAGAACTACAGTCATTGAAACAGATGTCTATGTTAACAGCATCGGTCCAGTTGACCCAATCAATATGGTAAGTTCTGATTATTGACAGAAAATATCATCTGCATGTTGCTATGGGTTAATATTATGAAGTAATTCTAATGTCATTCAAATTTTTCTTTATTTCTTACTGTATATTCTTATGCTGTTGGATATGATTGTAGTTACTGCAGAGATACATTTAGTCCCTCTGTTTGAAATTGTTGTAATTTTAAAAATAGTTTTTCTCTTAAAAAAGTGAGGTCGCATAGAGTACATTGTATCAGGTCCTTGTTTTAGTTTGTGTTGAACATTTCCACAATATTTGTGTATATCTGGTTTATCTCTGGCCTGGTTTGATTTCCTGGAGCTACTCTTCAGAGCCTAAGAAAAATAACAATTGACACAGTATTTGAACAAAACTGTTTTCAGTGAGCTATTGTTTGTTTGGCTTTTGTTCAAATTCATAAAAATCAAAATTTGGATTAACTTTTTTGTCCTTCTTTTTCCATTTAGTCTTCTGTGTCTTTTCAGTGTGTGTGTGTATACACAACTGGTTTCCTAGAAGTTAAGAAATACATCTCACTTAGTTTGTGGTACACCTGTTGGGATCTGACCTATCTGTTTAGTACCAACACTTATGGTGTTGGTACTTAACAGCATTTATGAGGAAGTTTGGGATGTGGTATTGTCTTAGTTCTCTTAGTTTGTGTGTTGTATGAAATGGTGGAGGCTTTAGAAAGGCCTTTTGGTATGACTTCTACCCAGGACTAATGCCCTCAGGTGATTTTGAGTTTACCTCCTTTACTTCCTCCCTACAGAATTGCTGACACTATTGAATTTCCATGACAGAGAAAAGTTTTGTTCAGAGGCTAGAGCATGCCAGTGCAGAGGACTTCTGAGAATTTCCAGAGAGTGCAGTAATTCTCAATTATTAGGGATCTTTTGGTTTAGACATACGTCATCATGTGGGGGTGGAGAACAGCGACTTTCAATGACGGGAAGCCAAGCAAGAAAATCCAGTGGTACTTAGATACTGTGGGAAAAGATGCAGGTCTGTGGCAGGTCATTCTAGCATAAAGGTCTAAGCAGCTTAGGGTTGGAATTGCGTGGGGCTGTGACAGGGAAGTCCATGTCTCAGGCCAGGACTGCATGTAATGAAATCTGTGATAGAGCATAAGAGTGACCGAGTGGGGAATATTTTCCAGCTTCCATGTCCGGTGTAAGTGGTGTCTTTGTTTTGTCTTTTGCTTCTCTCTGTCTAATCCTCTTCCGAATGAACTTACTGTGGAAGCAAACTGGGAAGATGTGTAAGGAGGATCTAGCAAGTGGTAAACTTTTCACCCTGTGGCCAGTAGGTATTGCACACACTGGAACTGAACATGAGCTATGCTTACAGCTTCAGTTTTCTAGTTTTAGAGAGCCAGCACATGGCTGGCTTTGCAGAACAACCCTGCCCCTTCTCCCATTCCATCCTCTTGTCTTTGCAGCCACTGGGCAACCTTCCAGCTATGGCTCAGCTATGCACCATGACCTCTCGTGTGCCCACAGCTTCCTTCTTCTCACTCAGCCCAGGTCCTGGGAGTATCAGCCATGGAACTATTGCATGTCAGTTGTTTAGGGGTCTCGCCACGTCTGCTAGTGCTGTGCTAGTCCTGGGTGGTGATGTCCTTGCCATACTGCTAGTAAAATCCAGCCTTGCTAGCTTATAGTGCAAGGTAATGACTGGCATTCTACTGAAAAGGCATATTATTTAATAGAGAGTGGGATCCTAATAGTTAATAATGGATGTTTCTCTCCAACCTTCTGATTTCTCTTTAAAGGAAAAAATATAATGAAACATGCCACCAAAAGGTAATAAGGTAAATGTTACTAAGACATAGAACTTTAAAAACTATTCTATGCTTTTTAAAAATTGACAGAAAGCTGCTTAGCAATTTAAATTACAGTCTAAAACTACTGTGGCCCTCATAAAAGGGCAAGTGCTTTCACTGGGTTTGCACTTCAAGAACATGACTTGTATGAGCAGCTAACCTCAGTACAGAGATCAAACCCTTGTAAAAATAAGTAAAACCATATACTTGAAAAGAATTTTATTAAGGTTTCCCAAAAAAAAGGTTTTATTCTGGGAAACAACAGTCTCAGTAAAATAAATAATAACAAATTTTACCCTGTAAGCTCCTTTAATGTGAGCTGTTGATTTCATTAGGAAGGCACTTTCCCTGGAGTCAGTATTGTTTGAGATTTTTAACTAATAATCCAAAATTTGCTTCCATTTCAAGAGCTGTCCTTAGCCCCTGATTTGATCACTTAACAAAGAGAATACATTTTCTGGGATTTCCAATCCCCATTGGATTACTTGGCAAATGATGTCCTTTGACTATCAAGTTTGGATACAATATGGCATGACCTAGAGGGTATTTTTTCTGACAGTGATGCTGAAGCAGCATATCTGGGAGTATGTTTGTCTGAAAGCTTTAGAGAACACATACTATGAGAAGAAACAGATTTGTTTTTGTAATTGTCTGTTTTCCTTTTGCTGTTTGATAAACTTTCACTTTCATAAATTAGGTCTATGCGTGGCATTCATTAGAGTTTGTTTTTGAAGGCTGTTGTATTTTGGCTTTTACTATTTAGCAAGATCTACACAACATTTTAAATTCTATAGTCCCCCCATGATTAAGACACATTTTCCTAGAGCTTGTGATCTCTTCAGGCATCTGCATCCTGAATAAAAACTTCAAACAAGTGTCTGGATCACTAGAGTATTTAGGCTTATAATACTAAGTCTAAAGATTTTTGAATCTGTGTTTTAGAGCTAATCTGTGCTATGTATTGTGCAACAACCATGTAAGATGCAGCTATGTGCCATTACATGGCACATTCAGGACTACCAGGGTATCAAGTCCAGCCAACATGGGCTTGTGAAAGTAAGGTCCAGGTTGATCAACCAAATCTCCTCCTATGACAAACTGACCAGCTTAGCAGATGAGGGAAAGGCTGTGTTCTATCTAGACTTCAGCAAAATATTTGACGCCATCTCCCACAGCATGCTCCTGGAAAAACTGGCAGCTTCCTGAATGAAAGGAAGATCATGAGGGATGCACTTTGGCCCATACTTGAGAATTTATGAGGTTTCCTAAAGGTTGTGTGGATTCAGTGGGAAAGCAACAGAAATTTTTGGAAAGTTAAGTATATGCACTTCATGCAAATTGGTTTAATTCTCTTTCAAATGGCAGGAATTCTGTGATCAATTTGTCCATAAGACAGAACAAAAGTACCAATGGGTCTTTGAATATTACCTGTTTCTTATTGTACAGTATCTTCTTTAAAATAAGTTAGAATTATATTTTTTTTTCCCCAGTGTACATTTTTATTTCAGCTAGGGAAGATAGATTCCAATCATTGTGGTGCCTGTCAGCACTGCTAGTGATCATGGTTAATTGGCTTACTCAGATGACTGAGATTGATGGATGCTGTTCATGTACAGCAGCTGAGTAAATATTTTTTTCAGTAGCTTTGAGCATTGTGGGTTTTTTTATGGAATATACTTAAAAGTCAAACCAAATATTTCTGGTAGCATATTTCTAGCAGAAAATTTCTTACGTTACCATCTCTAGAAATTGAGTAATATTTCACAAGTACAATTTAATGATTGTTCTCTCTTTTTTTATTTCCCAAAAAGATTGGCTTTAATTGATTAATCTGGTTCTTGAAATTTCATTACTGCTATTGGAAAATAACCTCAAATACCTCTAAGATGGTCTTGTTCAGGGAGAATTGGCTAAATACATGCAGTATCCTGCTCATACTGGGACAGCCTAGCAGTTCCTTTTTGGCAGTTGGTCCCAATTCCTGTGATCAATTTGAAGGGAATGGTGAGGAGTGAGGGAAAATGCAGTTACTGTACAGGTAATGTACTGAACAGTTACTGTACAGAAAATACATTTACAGTACTGTACTGTACTGACAAATATTGCTGTAGCCTTCTGAAACCAAAGCAGAGAACAGTCATCTTTTCAGTCCCGATTCTAAACAGCATTCAGTATTTTTCCTGTTTTCAGCTGCAGTTTGCCAGTTATCCATTAATAAATGGGAAGCCAGGAGAGGTACTGAATTTTCCACACAAGTGACTAGGAAAATCCATGCTCTTTGCTGTAAAATATGGCCTAATTTCTATGTGCCATATAATAGCATTGCTGTGTAAGGCCGCAGTCTTTTTTGTGCCGGTTCTTAAATGTGTGTTGGTTCTTAAATCTTAGATTAGTTCATGCTTTAGGAAATACTGGTTTCGTATTGTACCACTGCATCACTTAAGCCACAGCTGGCATGGTTGCAGTAATGATAATAATCAATGTAGTAGAAGTGGTACAACTACTACAACTACTGTTTATTTTTATTCACTCCCCTGTTTTCAGTAGAGTGTGCCAGCATACTGTTTGGAAATCCTGTTTGTTTTGTCTCAGATTCATAGCATTCACAGCCAGAGCAATACCAAACTGCCTCTGAAGTTCCTGAGATTTCAGACGTAAGTGCTCTGTAGTTGCACAGGGCCAGTCTGTGATTCTGTAACTTGCTAAAGAAATGGCAGGAGTGCTGAGCTGTGGACGTGGATAGGGTCAGACAACAATTCTGAAAAAGCTTCCTTTTTTTTGTGGTCAGTCTGTCAATGTGTCGTGATAAAGTCTCTTAGTTTCTTGTGTTCATAACAGTTGATCTATTTAAGCATTGATGTGAATGTATTTCTTAAAGCTTTTCCTTTGTTGCTTCTGCACAGTATGTCTTCCACGGTCACCTTTTCTTCTCCTGTGCTCAGTTCCTTCTTGGAAGTTTCATGCACAAATTTAGCCACCTTTCTTTGTCAATAGCTTGCTATTCTGTGTCTCCTTTTGTCCTAAGGAGTCTAAATTCTGTCCTGTGTCACTCATATGTGTTCACAGTTTTTTTGCTAGCTCAATATGGCTGAATCACAGCTTTAAAGCTTTCAAATTTTCACCTCTTATTCACTCTCAGTTGCTGTGAATAATCATTAATTTATGCCATTGAGGACTG